GGGGGGGTAGGTGAACAGAAAATGTCAATCCATTAAGGAATAGAAAAATTGGCCAAAGTAAATTTCAACCCGTCTTTTTTAAAACAAGTTAAAAGCGTCTTTCGCGAATGTCATGGCGACCGAAATGTGGTCCTAAAGAGAATGAATACCCTGAATGTTCATGCTAGGTCAAGTTAGTTCTAAATATGGAGCTGAAGAGTTTTTGTTTAACAAAAATTTCACCCCTTCTTAGATTCTGACCCTAAGCTTCTCGGGTAGGCAAAGATTGTATATACACAGCGCCACAAAGGTCGTGTAATACTCCTTAAATCATAATAAAGAACTCTTCCTTCTTCAAATTCTGGTTATCCATAGCATCCTAAGAAAACCAAGAAGCTTGTGGAGACCAAAACTGTCTTGGTAAGGTTTTACTGAGGATTGTCGAAAAACAGGTCCAGGAGCTGCTCGGGGCACTCACCGGCCCCTCTCAGAAGGATAAAAATTAAAGACGAGATGCGAACATTTTAAGACTGCTCTTCATTAACATGCAAAAAATGAGTCCTCCAATTCTTGTCCTCAAACATTCGTTACAACAAAATAAATCATTACTGCCCGTAAAAGAGTCGCCACTATTTATTCTGGGGATAAAAGACTATTTTGTGCGCATCAAGTGTCAGCGCCCTGAAATACTTGGTTTACAGACGTGATAGTAAAGGATCCTATTTCTGCCTCCCCTTTTGCTCAGATTCTGCAGCGTCTTTTCTTTATTCTGACCTTCTCTACCTTCTCGAACATAAACTGCACGCTTACGTTAAAGAGCAATTCGCAGTAACTAATTACGCAGTGGACCGCTGGGGTTCTTCTATTGATCAATGTTTGCCCTTCATACCGTTTGAACGAAGAGAACAGCAAAACTTCGCCAACCTTGCTCAAAACTGAACGAGGGAATATCCGGGTATATTGTTTGACTACTTCAGCTCTTCCCAGCTTCCATTTGAGTTCTTTATTTTTATCCTTAGGCAAAATCGAAAACGCCCTCCCTCGCCTGCCTGTTTTAGCCCACGCGATGAGCAGAGTTGAAATACACTCCTTTTTTTCTGTCTACCAGATGTTGAAATTATGGGGCATACGTCGCCTACATGTAAACAAGAGGGTTCGTTCTTTCCGCTACATGTATGATGCCATCGCAAAGGGCCCGAAGTGAAATGCGAACGATAGAAAAAAGAAGGGGTGGACAAAAAAGAGAAACCCATACGTTTATCCTGTGACTCAGTTTACTTCCGCGATGTGACGTGATGGTGACGTATTAGGAAAACTGACACTGTGCGTGGGCCCGTTCTTATAAAAAGCGGGCCGTTTAACTATTGGGTACTCAACACCGGAGTCACAGACAGGAACAGTTCTATCACTTGAAAGAAACGTGTTTTAGAACTAGTATTTGTACCGGTGTCATTATAACCTGAAGCAAAGTCAAACGTTCGGAAGAAAGAAAAAGCAAGAAAGAAAGATATATTTAAGAAATTGACCATGGGAGGAGGACAAGTTGCCCTGCTGCTCCTGGGACTTTCATGGATGACGCTCGGGAGTGATGGTGAGTTGTTCACAGAATACTCATTTGTCGATATTTACACATTCCTCTTTTACTCTCCATTATTTTTTACATACAATTTATATTTATTTATTTAATCATTTGTTTATTGTTGTGGTTGATTTTTTTTCCTTTTCGTTGTTTTTTGTGTGGGGATGGGGAGGGGGGAGGTATTTCCTAAAAGTGCTTTATGCACGTCTATGCATTGCTACCTATATTTCCATTCCGCCATTGTAATGTATATTTCTATCCTGGGGCATAGCAGTCTTTTTCATTTTACTTTCCTTTTCCTCTTAGTGTGTGGCTTTGAGTAAATATTATCCATCGGAAGGTGCGACATATTATTTTGAACTTTCTGTAGTAACTTGACAATATTATTATCAGAACTTAAGGCTCATAAAGTGTACAAATATACACCCTATACAGTTCAATTAAAATGTAATTAAACAGTATTTTGCAGAAATATTTTTGTTTGGAAGAATGTGAAATTACATTTAGGATATTCATGGGAATATACAGATCCGTACCTTTGCTTCCTACGCGGTATGTTCCACTTATTTCTACACCTATCTTGATAACCCAAGTTGGGTAAATACTTGCCACACAGAGCGAAAGAGCGGTTTGTGAAATGGACAAACCAGGGAAAATTTGAGGTGCAAATGGGAGTGGGAGTCTAAACTATTTTCTTTCCTTCAAGATATCCCAACAGCACTCAAAGCTGCATGGGAACATCACGTTCTGTTTTCAAAACCAACTCTAATGTGCTGTATGGGGTGTTTACTTTGAGCGTTAATAGCAGTTAGAAAGCACCTACTTACTTCTCATTCAGTTAAGCATTGTATTGGACAAAAATAATCAGAAAGAACAACTGTTTCTTTTGAAAGCGATGTGTTCTTGTCGTCACCAAATTAATATTTTAGTAATGCTACGCCTATTTCCATATAAATCTAGTTATAATATGCTAGGTTTTAAACCTTGATGTCCTGTGTACAGACAAAAATTAGCCATGGGCCATCAACAATTTACGAGGCATGTAATCAATTATTGTACAATGGTAGAGCTGGAACCTACAGAAATTCCTTAGATGCACTGCATTTGATAAGACAACACAATGTTTTGTTTAGTTACTTTTCTTTCTCTTGGATTTTTCTCCAGCGTTTTCCCTTGCGTGTCGCCGGACCTGTCGCCCCGGCTACTTCCCTGACCCTATAACTTGCCAGTGCACGCCCGCAAGGATTGAGCAAAGGCCAGACAGCGGCTGTGGACTGTTGTGCAGAAACTTCTGTCCCTTCGGGAGAGTCTACGACTCTAGAGGGTGTCCTACCTGTAGCTGTAAACTCAACCCCCAGGAGAAGAAAGAGTGTAAGCCGTACTGCAAAAATCTGTGCTTGTACGGACGAGTCCACGACAGCGATGGCTGTCCCACCTGCAGGTGTAATCCGGCGCCGGCCACAACCGCAAGACCACGGCCGTCTGCTGTACCTGTGTGTCCCAGGCGTGGGTGTATCAAGAACTGCCCTAATGGGCGAATTAATGATAGTAACGGCTGTCCCACATGTGAATGTAAACCCACAGAACTACTCTCCAGACCTCGTTGCCCCACCATAACTTGTCGTAAGTTCTGCATTAACGGTAAGCAGCTTGACTCCATGGGGTGTCCTACCTGCAGTTGTAAACCATTCCAATCTCCCGTCTGTAGTCCTATAACCTGTAGAAAGTTTTGTCTCTATGGCAGGAGAAAAGACAGCAATGGGTGCGATATGTGTTCGTGCTTACCGCCCCTTGAGCCTCAACCTCTTTGTGGGCCCGTTTGTGAAAAATTTTGTACACATGGAAAAGTCACCGATCAGAACGGCTGCGAAACTTGCACCTGCAAATCTCGTCCGGACATACCCGCTGAGCCGTTTAAATGTTCCTCAGTTCGATGCAGAAAGTTTTGCGCATACGGCAGGGTTGTAGACCAAGACGGCTGCGATACGTGCACCTGTAAACCTTACCCCGTTTGTCCACGTTTGGCATGCTTTAACGACTGCCAGTTCGGGAAAGTTCTCGATCGTAACGGTTGTGAAACATGCGCCTGTAAATCAAGACCAGCACCCTTAGAACGCATAGTCTGCCCCCAAGTCGGATGCTTCAACCAATGTCCTTTTGGGCGCGAAACCTATAACGGCTGTCCTACTTGCACATGTAAGCCAGCACCATCTGTTCCTCTAGTGACCCCGAAACCCTCAAGGTGCGGGCGACTGTGCAGAAACTTCTGTCCCTTTGGCCGCGTCTACAAGAATGGTTGCCCAACATGCAGCTGCAAAGGCTTTGGTGACCTCTTCTTCAGCTAATGACTCATAATATAATGCCAACCTGCTGGAACACCATAGCATGTCGGCCTCTCAAGAAAGTAATATCTGAACCAAAAGATTGTTCAATTATTACTTGCAAAGACTAGTCATTTGATCCGGTTTTTTAAAATGTATATTCTGTTTTAAAATGCTTTGCTTACCGTCTACATATATCCCCATGTAATATACTGTTTTTAAAGAAATTCGAACAGTTGAGCTCAAAATGATACTTGAAAACACTTGCTAGGTAATGAATTTTCAGTCAGGGTTTCCTCAGATTGGAATAAAGGGTGGACAAGTTTGGGGGTTTTAATTCAAGGCGATAACAGCAGCTTGTGGTGTTTGAGAGAAGGACGGAGAGGAAGGAGTCATGTCATAATTCGTTGGGGGAACTGTACCTCAGACCTTTCAGTCAACATTAAACTGAAATATCTGATATTTGTGAATATGATATTTATTAATTTATTGAACATTGTTAAACATGAAATAAAAAATTCATGTTACATACTTAAATTGTTTTACTTGTCAGTGATTTTGTATAACTAGTGTAATTGAATACGTGATTTGGAAAGCCCAAACCTTTGCCCTTGTTTTATTTCTGTATCCGTTCGTTTTTCATGAAGCTGGTTATATAGATAGTTTGTGCATTTGTCCTGTTCAACATTTTACGTTAAGTTTGGTGAAAATTGCAATGTCTAATTAAATCGAGAAGGTTCTGTAACACCCTTAAGTACTCCCCAAGAGCTTTAGAGAAACACAAGAAGAGTAATGTCCGTGTGCCGTGACGTGGTTTCGAACTACGTGCTTCCCATTTACTTGGAAGTTCGAGGTTGTTTGGCACCCTCCTTAAAACCATATTCTCTATCAGTTTGGAGTCCTTCTGGGAGGATAAACAAAAACAGCCCCGAAGCAGTGTAACTGTAACGTATTTTAATTAATTATACAAGACGATATTTTTACAAAACACTGAAAAGACATTATTTAACGTTGAAGGCCTCTACCTCAGGCTTAGGTATCATCAGAAAATACTAAACCCGATGATTTGGCCAAATGACAAGATTTGAGGTCTTATGAAATGACAGCCATATACATACAGTCGAAAGCGTGAGGATTTGAGTCAGGTCTTAGCAAATTAGAAGATAAATGGGGGAAATCATGAGCTCAGCTCTCGCATCCACCAACGCCCCTCCTGGTATTCCGCTTTCTTAGAATTATAGTTCTATCCTTTCAAAACCTAGTTTGGAGACATTGGACGTAAAAAAAAAATTGAGTTTGACATGTCAAGCTTTTTCAAATCCAGTTCTTTGAATATATTGATAATGACTCCTGATAATGAGATTCAAGGTTGTACGATCAAGGTTACCGGTGTTAACATGGTGGCTGTGAGCAGCTGTGAAGCCGTTCATTGACCCAAAGGGAAGTAATGGAGAGAAATACATCAGAATATAACCTGCCCACAAAATAACCTCCCCTTGTGAATTTTGACGTTGTCACTTTAATAATTAATGTTTTGAAAGACTCGTTTATGGTTGTTGAGAGGTTTGTTTTACAAAATTCCAACACTTTGATACTTGTATTCATAGCGTTCTTACAGTCTGATTGAAAATATATACCCTGATTAATTGATAGAGAGATAGTCGATAGATAAGTGGGAGGAGGACGGCGTGCATATGAAGATAGGTGCTCGAGGGTGTATCATGAGTATGTATTTGTTTGTTTGTTCGTATGTGCTGGCAAGACAGCATGGGTGTGCAAGAAAGAGAGGAAAAAATAAAAATATAGTAACCGAGAGAGACGAGCGGAAAGGATTGGGGATGGAGAGAGAGAGAGAGAGAGAGAGAGAGAGAGAGAGA